ATCTTCGAAACCTACTCTTCCTCCCCTGTCCTCTGTCTTCATAAACAGTACCATATCCCACCCATTGCTCAAGTCAGAAAGCTGAAAAGTCGTTCTTGACTTCTTTCTTCCCCCACGGGGGCACGGTTACCGTGTTCTGTTGATTCTAGGCTTTCCCACAGTGGACAGTGCTTACCTGTTGGTCACTGGTCACACTATCTTGTTGTTATCCATTTACACATATGTTTCCCCTGTGTTAAACTGTAAGTTCCTGGAGAGCAGGGACCATATCTAACGCTCGTTTTTGTGTTCCCAATACCTGGTACAATGTCTGGAACATAGTGGGTGCTCTGTTAATGTGTGTTAGGTAAACAAATCAATGAATGACTTGAACACTGAGGCCTTTTTCCCAGAAACTGAGTTCCGCTAGATTGGACTGTGCAGGAGGACTCAGCACTGATCAAGCCTTTATATCAGATGCTGTACCCTTCTACTTCAGACATCCTCTGAGGGAAAGATTTCCTTAAATTACTCCTATGGAGCTGGATGAAAACTGGAGCAGTGTGGCCACTTATATCTGAAGAGAGAGCTTTGTTGGGACTAAGGTCAGGGTACTTTGCCATGCCCATGCCATTGATCCCAATGACTCTTATAGAGAGGAGTCCTTTGATCACTGCTCCAAACAATTTATTGTTTCCCCTTTCGAGCCCTCTTAGTACTGTGCATATATCATCTTCACTTTGTTCTAGATCTAAGATGATGATATACTGTGCATTCATCATCCGTCAGGATCCAGTGAAGAGACAAAAACGAAACCAGTAATTTAAACGAGGGACATTTAATATAAAGAATGTTTAGCTAGTAAAAAGTAGTTAGCTGAAAGAGTTAAAGAGGACTCTAAGGAATACAGACATGGATAATTCAGCAAGCAGCCTTGCCTCTCAGATTAAGGGAGAGCACACGAGGAAGGAACCAGGAATTTAAAGAGCAGTCCTCAGCCCAAAGCTGAGATTCCGACATTTTTTAAGAGGTCGTAGCTGCCGTAGTGACACATAGCCTGCCGGTGGTGAAGAAACTTGTCAGAGGGCATAGGCCAGAGCTGGTCTGAGGGGCATGGCCTGCCAAATGGCAGAGAACTTCACTGAAGGGTGTAGTCCACAGGAAAGGCCTGCTGGATGGTGGAAAAACTCATTGGAGGGTGTAGGTGGGCCAGAGCTCGTCCACCACAAGCTATCAAGCCTCCCATCTGTAGAGTTGGTGGCCCCACCAAAAAACAAAACAGCTCACAGGTATCAGGAAGAGAAAGCCCTTTCTCTTTGCATGGCTTACAGTGTTCCTTCAGCGCCCTCTATTGACAAAGCCAGTTGACAAAGGAGAAATGTTTCAGGGTCCATCCAGTTCCAATACCAAAAGTACGGCAAAGACGACAAAATGGGCCTGTATAATACTATCCTATTTTTTAGTACAACAAAACATTGGCAGTGGCTGTCTTTGTCAGGCAGGATCATGGGATTATTGGTGCTTACTATTTTTTGTTTTTTATTTTCCTGTAATAAGCATGTAGTATTTTTAGAATCAACAAAAATGTTATCAAAAAAGTTTTTGTAATTTTAAAAGACTCTTCCTCTAGGAAGGTGGGGATAGGTGGGCAGGTGGGGAGAGGTTAACCAAAGAACTTATATGCATAAATGCATAGCCCATGGACACAGACAATAGTATGGGGAAGGCCTGGGAGTAGGGCAGATGCGGTGTGGAGGGGGTCAGTTGGGGGGAGCATCTGTAATACTTTCAACTCTCCTGGACCCTAGGTCTATGCTCAACCGCTGAGCCACACTGGCCAGGTGTTTTATAATCTTTTTATTGTTTTATAACCTATAATCTATTTTGAAGCCTTATAGCTCTTCTTTGACTTTTTATTTAAAGAGTGATTTTGTCTGTAATTCTTTGAGATAATGGAAACTCTGCTGATGCTTCTCAGTTCCTCTGGTATTCCTCTTAGATGTATGCTCCTAATCCCTCTGTTATGCATGTTCCTTTCTTTCGTAAAACCACCACCACCACCTATTTTCAAGCACACACAGTTATCTTAATGATTGCTACTCAGCAAAGAATGAAGCAGGCTCACCATTAGAGATTACTATGGGACCCAGTCAGTGTGGCTCAGTGGTTGAGCATCAACCTATGAGCCAGGAGGTCATGGTTCAGTTCCCAGTCAGGGCACATGCCTGGGTTATGGGCTGGATCCCCAGCAGGAGACATGCAGGAGGCAGTCAATCAACGACTCTCTCATCATTAATGTTTCTATCTCTCTCTCCCTCTCCCTTCCTCTCTCTGAAATCAATAAAAATATATTTTTTAAAAAAAGAATACTATGGGAAGAGGCGGATGGAATTGAACTGGGGCACCTCAAAGCCTTCATGAAGATTTGCTGCCACAAACACCTCATCTAATCTACAGGCATCTCTCTCTCTCCAGGTTTTGGTTTCTAAGAGATCAACATGGCACAAGATAAAGCCCTTTAGGTCACAAGCTTTTCACAAAACAACTTGAACGTCACCCTGGTTACTTCCTCTTCGCCTTACTTACCCTCTGTCAGTCTTCCTTAGCTAGGAACGAGGGGAGAGATCATAGAAATGAGCTGACAGCATGGTTCCTCCTTTCACAGCTTCTCCCCACCACTCTGATGTGTCAGATATGTCAAACCAGATGTCTACAGGGACAGTCCTTCCTTTCTCTGTGACTCCCCTTCCCGCCATGCTCTAGGTCTCTCCACTCAGATCACTGAGTATGCCATTCAGAAATAATCCTTTGGGAGATGTCTGTATATATGGCCCTCTTTTTAAAGATGGAGTTCACCTCATTTGTCATTTTCTTAATTGTTTTCAGTGGGTTTTGAGAAATGCCTTTACCATCTTTTAGTCTGTTTCTGAATTTTGAACAATATATATTGAACAAACCAAAAGAAGCACTTTAAGAGAAAATTATTGCAAAGCTAATTCTTTCCAGTATTTTATTTGAATGTTATTTAAATGAAATCCAGCCTGGATATGGAGGTTTGTGCTAGGGACACTTTACTTAGTGATAATTCTTAGGCTTAAAGGGTAAAGATTAACAATAACAACAGTAGCTGGCACTAACATAGTGCTTTCTATATGCCAAGCATTGTTCTAAATGTTTTACATATATTTATATATATTCTCATAACAACTGTGAAATAAAGACTATTATTATCATCTCCATTTTAGAGTGAGGAAACTGAGGCACAGCGAACCCCAGTGATTTGCCTAAGGTCACATAGTCAGTAAGTGATGGAGCCAGGAATCAAACCCAGGCAGTTGACCCTACAGGCCATTAAGAATCTGTGTTCTTAATCACTATGTTGTGTTGCCCCTTACTCATTGCAAAAAGATAAATGACTAGAGAGTTTATAGTGCCAGGGCCAAAGTGAAATGGCTCTGTCAAGGAGCTCAGAGCCCGGCCGGGCGTGGCTCAGCAGTTGAGCATCGACCTGGGATCCAGGCGATCAGGGTTCGATTCCCAGTCAGGGCACATGCCCGGGTTGCGGGCTCGATCCCCAGTCGGGGGCGTGCAGGAGGCAGCCGATCAATGGCGCTCTCATCATTGATTTTTCTCTCTCTCTCCCTCTCCTTTCCTCTCTCTGAAATCAATAAAGATATATTTTTTAAAAAAGGAGCTCATGCCCAGCCGGGCGTGACTCAGCGGTTGAGCATCAACCTAGGATCCAGGCGATTGGGGTTCAGTTCCCGGTCAGGGCACATGCCTGGGTTGCGGGCTCGATCAATGACTCTCATCATTGACGTTTCTGTCTCTCTCCCTCTCCTTTCCTCTCTCTGAAATCAATAAAGATATATTTTTTAAAAAAGGAGCTCATGCCCAGCCGGGCGTGACTCAGCGGTTGAGCATCAACCTAGGATCCAGGCGATTGGGGTTCAGTTCCCGGTCAGGGCACATGCCTGGGTTGCGGGCTCGATCAATGACTCTCATCATTGACGTTTCTGTCTCTCTCCCTCTCCTTTCCTCTCTCTGAAATCAATAAAAAGATATATTAATAAATAAATAAATAAATAAATAAATAAATAAATAAATAAATAAATAAATAAGGAGCTCAGAAATGTGTTTTGTGACTGGGAAAGGTCAGGGATTTGATGATGTAGACACTCAAAAACAGTGAGAGTATCTGCTTCCAGTCACAGGAGGATACAGAGTAGCCACACAGAGGGAGGCAGTTCCACTAGAGCACCAGGAAGAAAAATGCCAGGTCTGAGAAAGGGAGAATTGATTTCTATTAAAATGACAGCTAAACATTTTTATTCTGAGGCATAGTTTCAAATTTGTTTACCTGTCACGGTATGTTGGGAGGGAAGCATAGTGTGCCAGTCATTAATTTCTTGTCTCAACTCCAAATCTTCCCTGCTTTGCTTTGCTTGTGTTACTGGATCCGAACCATTTCTCCTTTACCAGCTGGCACAAGATGTAGATTTTTACCAATAGGGATGCTGGAGGGAAATGCAAGGCCACTGAAAAAGAAAGGGCCCTGGCTGGTGTGGCTTGATGGGTTGGAGAATTGTCCAGTATACCAAGATGTGGCAGTTCGATTCCCGGTCAGGGTGCATACCTGGGTTGCTGGTTTGAGCCTTGGTTATGGTGCATTGGGAGACAACTGATTGATGTTTCTCTCTCACATCGATGTTTCTCTCTCTCCCTTCCTGTCTCTGAAAAAAACAATTAAAAAAAAAAAAGTAACTTCTCTTCCTGATGCTGTTGTGCTTTTTTATTAACATTGGACCCAGCAAGTTTCTACCCCATCAAATATGCCACTTCCTGAGAACCAGCTCCAGACTGCCCTCTTCCTCCAGTGAATTTTCCCACCACCCCACAGACCACTCCCACGTACCAGCTCCAGCCTGCACTGCACAAATTTCTTCTCTACCATTAGGGTATGTGTTCCTGGGTAGCCACAGCCTCTCTAAAAAGGTTGGAACCTCAGCCCCAGTGGTGAAGAGTCCTCTAGCTTTTTTGTTCCTGCCTCTTGAACTTTCCAGCATAGAGAGAGGTGATTTTGGGAATTATAGGATGTCCTACTTATCGTTTCAGATTCTGAGACCAGGAACAAGATGAAGGAATGGAAGGCAAAGATTAAAATTTCTGAAGAAAAAGATTCAGCGAGGGCTGTATCAAGAAAATCCCAAGGACAGTTCTCCCAAGAATGTAGGTTAGTTGAAACCAGTGAGCCTGAGGACAGGTCATTGAGGCACTGGGTAAGCCCCTTAGAGGATGCAGTGAGACAGACCCCTTCCCAGGAGAGAGGTATCAAGGAAGTGAATCTCATCCCCAAGAAAGCCATTGCAGGAGAAAGGGGCCATGGACGTAATGAAGGAGGGAAAATACTTTCTGCCAGAGAAAGATCTCACAGATACGAGGTCTGTGGGCAGAGCTTCAAACAGAAGTCGGAAGTAACTGAGCATCAGAAAAGTGATAATATCAAGAAAACCTATGAATGTAAGGAATGTGGAAAAACTTTTAACTAATAATTCTCTGATTATACATCAGAGAATTCATACAGGAAAAAAATCATATGTATGTAATGAATGTGGGAAAGACTTTAATCAAAGTTCAAATCTTATTATACAGAGAATTCATACAGGAAACCTTATATACGTTGCAAATGTGGGAAAGACTTCGATCAGAGCTCTAATCTGCTTAGACATAAGAGAATTCACAGCGGTGAGAATCCCTATGAATGTAAAGAGTGTGGGAAGGCCTTCAGGGGAAGCTCAAACCTTGTCCTACACCAGAGAATTCATAGTGGAGGGAAGCCATATATATGTAATGCATGAGGGAAGGCCTTCAGTCAAAGCTCAGATCTTATAATACATCACAGAATTCACACAGGAGAGAAACCCTATGAATATTATGAATGTAGACAAACCTTTAAAGTTCACACCGTGTCATACATCAGCAAATTTATACTGGAGAGAAACCCTTCAAGTGTAATGAATGTGAAAAGGCCTTCTGGCAGTGTTCATGCCTCACTGAACACCAGAGACTCCATAGTGGGGAGAAACCCCATGAATGTTGTGAATGTGGGAAATCCTTCAGTGGGCGCACAGCTTTCCTTAAACACCAGAGCCTGCATACTGGAAAGGAACTTGGGTGTGAAAAAGCCTGCACTTCTGGCTTGCACCTTATCAAACAACAGAGAATTCATAGGGAAGAAAAACCTTATGAATGTACTGAGTGTGGGAAAACTTTCCGGGGAAGTTCAGATCTAATTCGGCATTGGATAATTCATACTGGAGAGAAACCCTATCAGTGCAAAGAATGTGGGAAAGCCTTCCAGCAGCGTTCACTCCTCATTCAACATCAGAGAATCCACAGTGGTGAGAAACCCCATGAATGTAGGGAATGTGGAAAACCCTTCACCTGGCACACAGCTTTTCTCAAACATCAGAGACTTCATACTGGAGAGAAACTTGAAGAACGTAAGACAACATTCAGCAAGGATGAGTTGTTTAGAGACGAGCATAGAATTCACCAAGAAGAGAAAGTTTATCAGTGTAATCAGTGTGGTAGAACTTTCGGAGGCAGCTCAAACCTCATCACTCATCATTTAACTCATATGGGAGGGAAACCATATGAATGTAAAGAATGTGGGAAAACTTTCAATCAGAGCTCAGACCTTATGAGACATTATAGAATTCATAGTGGAGAAAAACCTTATGTCCGCAATAAATGTGGGAAATCTTTTAGGGGGAGCTCAGATCTTATTAAACACCATCGTGTTCATACTGGAGAGAAACCCTATGAGTGCTTCAAATATGGGAAGGCCTTCAGTCAGAACTCACACATTAGTCACCAGAGACTTCACACTGGAGAGAAACCCTTTGAATGTTGCAGCTGTGGGAAGGCCTTCAGTGGGTGCACAGCTCTTCTTAAACATCAGAAACTTCATGCTGGAAAGGAATCGGGGAGTGTGAGAGAGTCTTCAAATAGGATTTATTTTAATAGGTAACAGAAACCTAATGAATGTAGGAAAAGCCTGGTGGAGACCACATCTCATTGCACTACAGAGGATTTTTATTAATGAAAACCGTTTGAAAAAAAGAGTCCTACTGGATGGAAAACATATAAGTGTAATCAGGTGGAAAGCTCTTAGACATAATAGCCTTTTTTCTGCCTCAGAATTGACATGAGTTTGGTCCCCAGGATATAATTACTTGAGAATGTTTTAGGCAACTTCTGTTGTTACTAAAATCATTAGAAATCACTTCGGCAACAGCCTCAGAACTAAATTCTTTGTGAAAGGAGCCATTTCAATCTTGACTACCTAGTCCAGTGGCAAGTATAAATCTGTTCTAAGTACTTTAGGGTGATCAAATCTTTCTCTGGAAAGAGACAGGCCTTTAGGTATGTGTTTTACACACATTCCCTATTTTCTTCTATATAAAAATATGTGTATGCATATGTGAAATGCTAGAGTGAACCACTAATTGAGAGGAAACAAAAAATAGAAGTGACTTGACAACGGGATTACTGAAGGCCGGGACATAAGAGCTGAGGAGTTTCCCCAGAGAAACAGTAATGACTACTGTTCATATCAGGAAATGAAAGAGCAAGGGATAGGAGAACAGCAGGTTTGGGGACTAGGGTAAGACTGAGTGCCAGGGTGGAGTGTTCAGGTGACAGGAGTTGGTGGGAATTAGAAGCATCTGCTATGGAAGGTCAGGAGATTATAGGGAGAGTGATTTTGTCTTGAACTGGACTTTATAATTGGGCACAGCTTACTTGAGAATTGGGGAATCTAAGAACTCTGAAGAGAGGTCATCATTTAAGCTTCCAACTAATTTGGTAATTAGGCCCTGCCTATCTGTGCAGTCAAACTCAGTCCTCAAATATTTCTTGTGCTCTGAACTACTGGCAGATTGTATATGAAGAAAGCTACTGAAATGCATTGTGAGAGAAGCTTGTGAGACCATGGAAGGGATCAGTGGTTCTCAGTTGGGATGATTTTGCCTCCAGGGGACATTTGGCAATGTCCAGAGACATTTGGCTGTCACAACTGGGAAGAAAATATTGGCAACTAAAGACCAAGGATGTTGCTAAACCCTTAAAATACATAGCCCCACCCCACCCCCAACAAAGAATTATCTGGCCCAAGTGTCAGTAGTGCCATGCTTGAGAAACCCTGCCCATAGATACTTAGAACACCAGTCACCTGGGGCTGTTTAAGCAAGGATTTCAGTGCAATGTGGGTGGTGACAGAGCATCCCCAGGGGAATCCAGAGTCTGATAGAAACCTTTAATTTGATTAACTGTTTTAGGAGACAGTCTGGTGTAGGGGAGGGAACACAGACATTGGTTTGAATCCCAGTACAACATTCTGGCTTCAGGACTGGAGCAAATTATGTAAACCCTCTGATCTTTATTTCCCTTATTAATAAAATGGTGATAAAATAATCCACCTTGTGGAGTAATTGTGAGGTTTAAACGAGAAAACTGAAATTTACTGTTGCCACATAGAAGGTCATCTAGAGCTCTAATCATTTTAAAACAAGAGAAGTATTTACAAGCAAAATATAAGATGTATAATGATACAGTGTTGTCTTGTGACTGGTATGAAGAATATGACCTGTTAAAGTTCAAAGCACTGGGGGCTGTGGTGTCCCCAGAGGGGCATCCTGAACAGCAGTGGGATGTCTTGACGTGGAGAAACCCATTTGCACCATCCCTGAAAGCTGGCAGCTTGTGGACGGTGGTACAGAAGCCTGCTTACCCCAGTCACCTGCGCAAATGTTAAAGCCCTTTACTGACCGCACATAAACCAATAATCTTTTTACGTGAGAATAACTTTAAATATATTTGGGAAGCAAAAGGAATCTAGTGATACATTGGATTAAAAATTAAAGATACTTAACATTTTTGAGTTATCCCAGATTCTAACCAATCAAAACCTTTAGCTGGGACATTTTAGCTTGCATTCATTCATTTATTTATTTATTTAGTAAAAGAAATGAATTAGGAATTTATTCTAATAAACCCATCTCTATGTCCTTCACCTGTATGTACAGTGAGAGTGATGTTTATAGGGCTAAGCAGGATATTGAAAGGGACTTGAAGGTAGTTTCATGCAGTGGTTTCTAACTTTCTAAACACCAGGCCCTCCTTTTTCACTCTCCTGTGCTGTATTTTAAATTTTTCTGCTTACCAAACTGTTTATTAAGGAATTAGTTCCTTTTGTTATTCAAATACATGTAGTATAACCACCAGTCATGCTTCTGATTGGCATAACATAACATAACCTGACCTAGGTATTAAAATTCCAGCCCAAAGCAAATTACTTAACATTTTCATTAGTCTTTTTATCCCTTTTGTGAGCAAATATATAATTTGCTTTGGGCTTTTAAAAATTATCTATTGCTTGAAGACCTCAGATTGGAACTAACCTTTTCATTTTATCCCTGATAGAGGCTGTACTATATTGAATACATCAGACTTTTAAAAGAAGGGGGAGCCCGGCCGGGCATGGCTCAGCAGTTGAGCGTCGACCTAGGATCCAGGCGATTAGGGTTCGATTCCCGGTCAGGGCACATGCCTGGGTTGCGGGCTCGATCAGTGACTTTCTCATCATTGATGTTTCTGTCTCTCTCTCCCTCTCATTTCCTCTCTCTGAAATCAATAAAGATATATTTAAAAAAATAAAAAAATTTTAAAAAAATAAAAGGGGGAAATTTTTGTTACAGTATGGAAATGCTTTCAACTGTGAATGTTGAAATAAAAGAAATGCAAGAAATAATTGTTGAGTGCCTAATATATCTGCCAAGGGCCACAGTTTGATAGGGCTAGAGAAAGACAGTTCTTCTAGGAGCCAACAATCCAGTGGAGGCTAAGTGAGGACAAGAGAGTTCTTCTTCAGTTAAGTAAACAATTTATGAAAAGATCCACCCAAAACTTTAATGGAATTCGACGTATTCATGTCCAATTTGTAAACTTGAATTCCATAGGATAAGACCTACCTGTCAGGGAGCCGCCTGCACTGGCACTTTGAGAAAAGAGCCTAACGGATAAAAGCTTGCCTTTGTGAGACCTTGAGTAGCTAAAGGCCTAAACTCCAGGACCAAAGCTGAGGAATTATCAAATCTTTCTGAGGAACAGGTATGATTGGAATGTGGATTGAGAGGTTTCTTCATACAAATATTTCATAGGAAACAAGACTGTTACTGCCACCTTGGGGAGATTGCATGTGAGTACAGCAGAGGAAGGGAATGTTCCCAATAACCTGCTGACTTAGTCCATTTTTCTTTTTTGATGCCCTTACTTTGAGGCCACCATCATCATCTCTTGCTTGTGTTATCACCACAGCCTCCTAATATGTCTCCTGCTTCCATTTTTCTACAGAGCAGTCTGAATGTCCTTTCTTTAGAACAAATCTGATGGTGCCACCCATCCTTAAACTTCTGCAGTGCTTTCCCATTAACCTGAGCCTGAAGCCCAGTCCTTAAAGTGACCGCGTGTTCTGCTCTGGCCCCATCTGTCCACTCATTTAGTAAATATTTATTGAGCTTCTAATGTGTCAGGCACTGAGGGGTACAAAGAGGGGTGAGCAGAAATAGACAACAGTCTCTGCCCTGGTGGAGCAGAGGTGAGGTCAGTGAGACTCATAAGTAAAATGACTCATAAGTAAAAGACTCCAAAGTAAAAGGAGAGGCGGGATAGGCAGTGGGGAGTCTGACCTAGCTGGGGGAGGGCTTTCTGCAAAGTGCTTACCTTTCTAAACCCAGCATTTACCTCTGAACCATCTGCCCAGGCCCTAGCCTTACCCTGTGGCCTTTCCACAAGCGAGTCCCTCTGCCAGGAATCCCCTCCCTCCTACCTAGGCTTTCCTTAGGGTTTCCTGTGTGCTGGGGACCCTGACCAGGCCTCAACTCCAACTTTCTCTTGCATTCTTTGCCTTGGTCTTAGTTGGTGAGTGCTACTGTTTTCTAAACAGGACACTAAGGACAGGAAGGCAAAGTAATTTGCCCAGGGAGCCAAAACTAGTGAGTGAAGAAACGGGGGTTCAAATCCAGACCCATGCCTCCAGAGCCCACTTCCCCAGGCGCCTCCCTCACCGCCTCGCCCGCAGCACCCAGCGGGGGTTAAGCGCTCGCAGGGCTCCCACAGGCCGCAGCCATCACAGCGCTTGTCCCTGCGTTAGACTGAGCTCTTCCTGGAAGGGGCTGGGTCTTTCTGGTCTTTCCAGGTTCAGTGACCCCAGGTAGAAGGAGCCACGCCTCAGCCACACAGACAGGTGTCGCCCCCCGCTGGGACGAGGGCAGGACCCCACCCGGTGGGCTTTGCGAGTGTTACCCTGGGAGGCTGCGGGGCGGGAGGTGCAGGCCGCGAGCTTTCAGCGGGCTGGTTCCAGGACTGGACAGCGGCCGCAGCTCCAGGGGAAGCGCTGAGCGAAGGGGCCAGTGGGGGCCGCCTGGCGTCGAGATGCCGCCGCGGTCGCGCGCGCCCAGGCTCTGCCCTTCCGGCTCCACCTGTCTGCGCAGCCCCCAGGGCCCTGCCCAGCAGTCCCATCCCTTGGGCTCCCGCTCGCCGGCCTCGCCCCAGCCTTGAGGCCCTCCCGGCGGCAGGATGGCCCTCCCTGGCCTAGCGCAGGTGCTGCCAGCCCCGTGCCCGAGGCGGTGCGCGTGCGGCTGGCACTGCGCCACCTGTCCCCGCACGAGGCGGTCTCTGCCGGACCCAGGACAGCGGGGAGGGGGGCACGGGGCTCGCTGGGTAACGAGCTTCCTCAGTGACCGGAAAGGTGGATTCAGGGGGACCTCTGGAACTTCGCACAGTGAAAATACTTCTGGGTTGGATGAGTGTCAGGGTGGTGGCTTCTCGGATTTTGAGCAGGCACCACAGACTAATTGGCCCACCGCCTCCTGGCCCTCAAGTCCTGCTCCTGGCCATACAAGGTCGCACACAAAAGGGGGTGGGGGGCTCCCGGCTTCCTAAAGCAGCCACAGTCCCTCTCTGGGTGGGGCTCCTACCTCTTAGTCCGGAAGGCTGAGGGGCGGCCGAGCGCACTTGGTGGCTCCTTGGAGATTTGGCGGGTGCTGGCCAACTTGAGCGCACCAGGTGAAAACACTGCCTGCAAAACGTGTTACACAAGTAAATAAAAAATGACTGAATCAGTGCTCTGGCCCGCAGTGCTGCTCAAGGCAGTGGAGTTGCGGCCGAGTCCCGCGCAACGCCCCAGGCTGGAGACGGGACGCGCGAGGGGCGGCCGAGCGGTGGGGAGGGACCTCCGCCTGACCGGTTGGCCGCGGCTCCCCAGCCCTCACGCTGCTCCCGCCCTCCTTCCGCGCAGCCTGCCCCGCCCCGAGGGCAGGGGAGAGGCGGCGACCCCCTGCTGGACGGGAGAGCCGAGCCTTCTCGGGCTCCGCGGCGCCGACCGCTGCCAGATTGCTCAAGAGCCACCAGCCTCAGCGCTCGGCCCGCGCCGGGCAGGCCCTGTCGCGTAGCAGCTGCTCAGCGAGTGGCTGATGAATGTGCACCCGCCCGTTACTGAGGCTCCCTCCCTCGGGCTCACCAGAGTCCTCCTCGCCCCAGTCCCCTGGATTTTACCAGAGGTCCCAGCTCCCGTCCACTTTCAGGGTCTCACCCAAGCAGGTCGCCCAAAAAAGCTGACGGATGTAGCGAGGGGAAGGTTTTGCGGGTGACTTGGTCATTTTTGTTCGTTTAAGATAAAACTTTGCTTTTAGGAACTTGTGAAGGACTACAGGGGTTCAAGGACGGGTTTCAGATGGTCCATGAATTCTCTGAAACCACGTGCACATTTTATAGGCAGAGCTTACCCAGAGTTTCAAGAATCCCTGACCTAACAACCTTAGGGGCCTGTCTCAGACCAGGAGGCACTTAAAACATATTTTTAAAAAATGGGTCTTAGCCAATAACAACAATAATAAACACCAGCCCAGAAATCTCAGTAATAAGGTGATTTTTAAAAAACTGTGCCCTCCAAATGATCAGAATCTTACATTGTCAGTCATGAAAAACCACACACACACACACAGGTAACACTTGTCCCATTATGAAAGACAAAGGATCCCACAAGCAGAGCAGAGATCAAGGGCGGAGTAAACAGCTTATGCAAAACCAGACGCTAACAGAGCACAAGAGGCTGGGTGACACAGGATAGGGACTGGTATACAAAATCATATTAAGACCATAATGAAACAATGTACTTTGGAATAATAAACATTTGAAAAGTACCAAATCAGTAAAATTGTAAAAAAAAAATAATACTTATCCAAAGTTAGAGTATCAGTAAAACTGTTTGATTAGAGGGGGAAAACATACATGAACATAGCTGCAAAAATTCTGACAGGCACTTCTGGGTATTTAGGCAGGCCTTTGAGATTGAGAGACCTGGGCTTTTTAATGGATCTAAAATTAAGAAAATTCATATTTTTCTCTTCCTCAACAGAATCCTACTTGCACAAAATAGTGACCACCAGCCCAAATTATGGCAGATTTTGACTTCCAAGTAAATCGAGAGGGAGACAAACAAGGAGAGAAAAATCTTCTGGAGGTAACAGCGTAAGGTGGACAAGGCAGGGAATGAAGTTACGGGTTGTGTGTACAGTGTATGTAACAAGGTGGAAATAATTTCATTCACCAGAATACCTCTGGTTGGAACATTCTTCTTGAAATGAAATGTGAGACCTACCTCCCTTATGAATATGCTCAAGTACAAACAAGTTGGTCACTAAATTGCTTTCTAATAAATATCCCAATGAGTGGATTAATTGAAGAATCTTTTCTTTTGCTGAGCAGTGGGTTTAAGATGGTAATTGAGCTGGGACAGGGATTGAATGGGGGGGGGGGCTAAGGAGCTAAGGTGACTGAGCCCTGAGGAGGAAAAAGAGGAAAAACTTCAGTGGCAGTTTGGCCAAAGGACTTCTGAGAACAAAATGTCTGATAGGATGTGAACCCACTTCTCTCTTACACAACAGCATCTTTGGAAAGTCCATATTACTCATGGATGTGTTTGTGTGAGGGGATTCTTTGGGGGTAGCTTGCAGTGCCAGGATCTAAATCAAGGACTGGTAAGGGGTGAGTGTGAAAAGAGGCAAACACAGACGTCAGAAGTTAAAGGGCTAGGTGTCATGCAGGTTTCATGTGAAGAAGATATGGTCTGGGTATAATTCAGTTTGAGCTTGAGATAGCACTGCACTTGTCATCACCCTACAGAAAGAGGTAAGTCAAAGAACTTCTGCTAAGAGTTTGAGGGCTAGGGGTAGTACCTGAAAGGATGTGAAAACTGTGAAATCAACTGTTTATTTGTACAGCCCTTTTCTCAAGCCAAGGGCATGAACCCAGGAGGTCATGTATTGGGGTATAGAATAAACCCACTTGGGTTTTGGCTGTGATCAGTTATTTTCCCAAGCACATGATGTAAATCCATTATATTCAAATCCATGTAGAATAGTATAAAATGTGCAAATGATTTCAAATAAGGCAGTAATGAATCTACCTAGCCACAGCACAGCACAGTGGTTAAGAGCACAGACGAGGATTGGAGTTTTGGCTCTTACTAGCTGTGTGATCACGGGCAAGTTACTTAACATCGCTCCAGCTCCCCCCCTTTTTAAAAATATGTCTTTACTGATTTCAGAGAGGAAGAGGGAGAGAGATAGAAACATCAATGACAACAGAGTCAGTGATAAGCTGCCTTCTGAGTGGCCCCTACTGGGGATAGAGCCCACAACCTGGGCACGTGCCCTGACCAGGAATCAAGCCGCAATCTCCTGGATCCTAGGTCGATGCTCAAACACTGAGCCATGCCGGCCAGGCTGACCCTCATCTTTTAAATTGGGATAGAAGTACCCACATCGATGGCTGTGCAACTGTAAATCAACTAAAAAGCATTCATTTAAGACAGGTGAATTTTACGTATACTTTGTTGTGAATTTTATGTATACTCAACAAAGTATACATAAAATTCACCTGTATACTGTACAAAGTATACTCAACAAAGCTGTTTTTAAAAAGAGTACCTAGATCATAGATATGCTGTGAAAATATAAGTGTAAACTGTTTGGCACTGTGCCTGGCACAGAGTAAACACTCAATAAATACTAGTGATTAGTATTAGTGTAATAAAAAAAAAAATTTAAATAGAACACTTAAGATATATAAAGTTAGATTTTAAAAAGAATCAAAGAACTATTGGGTTGGTTGAAACTTCAGAGATCATTTAGTTCAACTCCCCTCATTTTACAGATGAAAAAATTAGGGACCAGCAGGTGAAGTGCCTTATTCAAGGTCTAGCTCTAAAACCAGGCCCTCAGCCTGCTGAATCCCCATTAGTGCAATTCCCCCTCCCACCCACTGTCTCAGAAACATGGACACATGAAAAATTGAGGACGTGTTTCCTCAAAGAAGAAAAAAACACAAAGGAGAACACACAAAACTCATGTAGAGATGCTGAAGGAAGAGAATTCCAAGGCCAAGGGCAAACTGAGAGGAGGCCATCACATCCTGGCCTATCAGTTCAGTGGGGTCTTCAGATCATGAGAGCATTAAGTGCTTTGGCAAGGAGACCCTGCTCAATCAGGTGAACTGGCTCATCACTGCGGCCAGGTGCCTGGTGATAGTGAAGCTGCAGTCCTCTCTGCTACCTCCTGACACAGATCTGTCAGCAGCAGCAATAGCCAGGGCCAAAAGTGAATGCAGCAGAGTTCTTGAGAGCAGACAGTCCGAGCAGCCCAAAGTGTGAGATAGCTGCTAAACAGCCGCTTTGCCCATGCTGAGTAGTCTGGCCTCACGTTTATCATCCCCTGGCCTTGCTCATCAGCCCTTCTGGATCCTAAGGACCTTTACTTATGATTCTATAAATTGCCTGTCCGTTTCCTCCATCATGGAACCCTCTTCCAGCAGGAGATATGAAATGACCCAAAGATTTCCATTTCATTAGTGCTGCCATCTTCTATGGGAACTTGATAGCATGTTTGAAAGATTTTGAAGCTAATAAAAGCTTATAAATTATTCCAGTGCTAAATGTTGGACAAGAGAATTAAGTGTGTCTTCTAGACCACAACTTTCCAACATTTTAGGGGACAATGTCCAATGAGTTGACTCTCATTCTCAGGAAGTGGTGGATCACATTCCTCCGGTTTTCCTAAAGAGTAACAATTTAGGCTAGATGGCTGGTATGTAGACCCTAATGGAAAGTGACACACTAGGAGGAAGGGACAGAAAAAGGGACAGAGGATTATTAAGGCCTGAAACACCTTTTATGATTTAACTCAGTACATTGAAACTTCTCAGTGAATAATTCTTAAAAGTGCCTCATTCTATTTGACCAACTGTTTAAATTAAAACTAGTAGGACAGAGGTTCTGTCCATTCATTTGATCTGAGAACTTGGGGTGTAGGTTATGAATTAAGTCTGAATTCAGCTTTCCCACAGAAAACGTTCCTATTTTGCAAATCATTCCATGCAATGAACACTTTGATGTCGGAGGAGGTGAGAGCTCCGACTAAAGGTCTTCTGACATTCTTGGCACTCGTAAGGCTTCTCTCCGGTGTGAATTCTCTGATGTATGATAAGTTGAGAATGTTGGCTGAATGTTTTCTCACACTCATTACATTCATAAGGTTTCTCTCCAATGTGAATTTTCTGGTGGAGAAGAAGCTCAGAGTTATCCCAGAAGGTTCTTGCACATTCATTACACTGATGAGGTTTCTCTCCGGTATGAATTCTCTGGTGGACAATAAGGTGGGAGGTCCGCCTAAAAGCCTTTCCACACTCAAAGCATTCATAGGGTTTCTCTCCAGTGTGAATTCTCTCATGTCTAAGTAGTTCTGAGTTCCCCCTAAAGGCCTTCCCACATTCCTTACATACATAGGGCTTCTCACCAGTATGAATTCTAATATGTCTAATAATCTCTGAGTTCTGGCCAAAAGTTTTTCCACATTCATTACATTCATATGGTTTGTCCCCTGTATGAATTCTCTGATGCCGGATAAGCTCAGAACTCTGACCAAAGCCTTTTCCACATTCGTTACACAGATATGGTTTTTCCCCAGTATGAATTTTCTGGTGTCTAATAAGGCCTGAGCTATGCTTGAAGGCTTTGCCACATTCACTGCATTCATGATATCTTTCTTCAGTATGAATCCTCTGATGCTGAATAAGCTGCGAGCTAACCCTAAAGGTCTTCCCACATTCATTACATTCGTATGGTTTCTCTCCAGTGTGGATTCTCTGGTGTAGAATAAGGGCTGAATTCTGACTAAAGGCTTTACCACATTCTTCACATTTGTATGGTCTCTCTCCAGTATGAATTCTATGATGGTGGATGAGATGTGAACTCTGAATGAAGGCTTTTCCACATTCATTACAAGCAAAAGGTTTCTCTCCAGCATGAATTCTCAAGTGTCTGCGAAGGCTTGAGTTAGTTCCAAATGTTTTTCCACATTCTTTGCATTCAAAAGGTTTCTCTCCACTATGAACTCTCATATGCTGGATAAGATGTGAATTCTGATTAAAGGCTTTCCCACATTCTTTACATGTATGAGGCTTTTCTCCCACACAACTTCTCTGTGTTCTGTTAGGTTCCAAATTCTCTATGAAGTTTTGGCCAGGGGTAGCAAATGTACTAACTGCCTCTGCTGTGATATCTCCCTGATGTGTAATCAGGTTTGGGCTGGGATTGCAGACTCTTTCATTCTCATTCTCCTGGTCTGTTTCACTTGAGGGTGATTTCTTAAAGATAATCAACCCTGATGCAAAGTCTCTCTCCTGAGGAGACATCTGCTCCATAATCTCGTCTATGGACCCTCCTGAATGCCCCTCCAACAAGTCTTGTTCACATGCTGCTCCAAACTCATGACTCTCGTAAACTACCTTTGGAAGTTTTTCTAATACTGCTCCATGTGGCTCAGATTCTTCAGAAATTTCTTCCTTGGGAATTATCTCCTTGTTCTCACTCCCCATCTCACAATCTGAAATGAGAGAGAGTAAGTATGTGAAGTGGCTATATCACATCTAAATGAAGCTAATGCTAGAAGAGTATGGAGCTTTGACATTGCTCTGACAGCACCCAAAAACAGTCTTAGTGAAAATTACAGAATGCTGTTGAAGAGAAGATATTTAGAATTATGGTGGACATACTAAACAAAGAGCATATACTGACTGCAAACAGTGAGAGATATTATCAGAGGAAGAGAGTTAAGGAGAGAAACAGGAAGTAGATGGTAAGGAGATGCTGATTAAAAAAATCCATATTTACAGTGAGTTGGAGCAGAACCTGAGGTTTGGTAAGAAAAACATTTACAAAAAATGGTAGCCATATTAATACATGGTATATGGAAAAGGCTGAGAGAAGGGGCAAAAAATGATTAACACAAACAACTTTGGATTTATAGAAAAAGTAACCAAAAAATGAGGAACAAGAGGAACTTTTCTGAGCCCAGTCCTGTGGTACTCACCAGCTCTCCAGAACACAGGATTGTGTATGTACCCATTCAAAAGCTTAATATAAGCCCTAGCTGGTTTTGCTCAGTGGTTAGAGCATTGGCCTGCAGACTGAAGGGTCCCAGGTTTGATTCCAGCCAAGGGTATATACCTCGGTTGCAGGCTTGATCCCTGGGGCACGTGTGAGAGGCAACCAATCGATGTGTCTCTCTCACATCAATGTTCTTTCTCTCTCTCTCTCCCCCCTTCCATTCTCTCTGAAAAGCAATGGAAAAAATCTCCTCAGGTGAGAATAAAAATTTTTAAGAGAGGTTAAAATGACTTAGCTATAACTAGCACAGAAGTAACTATCCTTAACTCCCTTATATTTGGATGACGTAAGGTTCTAGCTTACTTTTCCCCAGGTTAGTAAATTGTATAAATAACTACTTTTCTTTTCCCTGCTGATTTGAGATGTCATCTATGTCACAGCCTAAAGGGACATATATTTGGGTTAATTTCTGGGCCAATTTCCAGACTCTATTCAGTTCTATTAATCTGTCTATTCCCTCTCTCATAACAAATTGTTCAACCTACTATAGCTTTATTAAAATTTTTAATATGTTAGAGAAAATCCTCTATCGTTAGTCTTCTTTTTCACATATTTCCTATTTTTGTATTTTTCTAAGTAAATTTTAGTATATTTTTGCAGAATTTCCTAACTTATCCTGATAGTTTTATATACACCATGTCTCTGTATGAATTTTCTTTTAGTATGTTTTTCACATATTTTCTAACTGGTTATTATTTTTATATATAGCAATGCTGTTGATTTTTATATACTAATTTTGTAATTGGCCCCTTTATAGAATTTTCTTAGTATTTTTACAGATCTAAAGCCTATATATATATTTTTTCAACTTCTAAAAGGTTGTGGCAAAGGTTTTTAGTTGTCTATCCCAATATCCATTCTTCCCTACATCATCAGCAACAGAATAATGAATTCATTTTGTGTAGCAATAAGCCTAAAGAAATAAATTCTCTGTTCCCTCCCCCCTCTCTCCTTCTCTCTCCAGAGTGCACCCACTCAAATCTTCTATTCAAGTTACTTTCCTAAGTTCCAAGGACCCTTCTTTTGCCTCTATAACTTGTTTCCTTAGCCCATTTCTTCTATGACTCATTTTTACTACCTCTGTAACTCTCCAAATAAACTTTATCTTATAATTTGAAAAAAAGAAATTCTCAGACTTCTTTGCAGCTAGGTATTGCCACGTGACCTTCTAGCCAACAGGACAGTAAGATACAAATGAAAGAACATAGGAGTTATGGGAAGTCTCCTTTAGGGTGAGAGGATGCATTTCTTTACCCTCTTCTTTCATGCTGTGCCTGGGGTATGAGATGGTAGAGTGCCATCTTGAACTGTGAGTACGCTGGCATACCCTATGACAGGACCAGAGCTGAAAAGAACCTGGGTCCCTGATGACCCCATGGAGCTGCCATAGCAGCCCTGGAATGCCAACCTCTGGACTTATTTTATTTAAGAAAGAAATAAGCTTTGCCTCACTTGAGCCATTACGGGTTTTTTATTTATAAAGCCAAACCTATTCCTAACTGGTGCAATGGCCCTAGGAATTTAGCTGTCCAGGTCACAGAAGTCAAGTCCAAACGATGGGAGGATAGGACTGGCCTCTGTTCAGGTAGTAAGAAACCAGGAGCTAATATTGAATAGGCCCTTTGCCTAGGCCAGTGCATTTTTGTACCATAGCAAATCTGAGGACTACAATCCACCAGTAAAAGTGTTAACTGTGGAAGGTGATTCTCAAGGGGGAATGGGCAGCTATGGGACTTTATCTTTTAGAAAACACAGAGTTAAGGAATGCTTTTTATGCCAAGGAGTGACACAGTCCATTGTCAGACTACCATTTCAAGTAGATGCATACTAGTGGCCATTTGGTGGCTGAACTAGAAAGTAGTATGCCTAGACATAGGGAGATCAGTTAGAATGTTAATGCAGTCATCAAGGTAAAGGTGACTGACTCTAACTATGGCAACAGTAGTGGTGAATGAAGAGGACACATGCTGGAAAAATATTTAAGAGGACAAATTCTGTAAGATTTGGTGTGTGACTGGATATACATATAAGGAATAAGGAAGAGTCAAAGATGGTGCCGGATCTCCCTTTTTTTGAGGAAAGGTAATTAGATGAATAGTGGTACCACCAAGGTTGGGAATACTGGAGGAGCAGCCAGTTTAGAAAGGAAGACAAACTTTATTTTATTTTATGTGGGGTTTTTTTTTAACACTTTATTAAAGTTACAACGGTAACTTTAACGGTGACAACGGTTAATATGAACATATAGGTTTCAGGTGTGTGTTTCTATGTTACAAGATCCATATATTGTTCTATGTGCCCATCGCCCAAAGTCATATCTTCTCCCTAGATGAATTTTAAAATATCCATACAGAGGTATCAAGAAATTAGTCAAAATATATTAGTCTAAAGTTTACAGCAGTCAGGACTAGAGATACAGACTTGAGAGTACTCAGCATAGATGGTATAAGTATAGTATGAGAACTGTCAGATATACTGAGGACAGAAATCTAAAAAGCCAAAGCTAACTCTTAAGGGTACTCTAGTTATCTTCCATCTTCCCCTCCAGATCTTTTTACCTTTCTCCACCCTGCTTTCTGCCCCAGAAGGCTAACCTATACAGCACATATCAACAGGCCCTTTGGCTTCTAGTTGTGTTCCACCAATGAGGAGGCTCAGCAGGAGGCTGGGAGTAGGGAGGGGAGTAAGGTCAGGGTATTTATTCTCCTGGTTCCTATGAGATCACCCTGGGCTGATGGTGTCCCTCAACTGAAGGTCACTGCTACCCCTAAGGAGTCTATCCTATCCAAATGTCTCAACAACTGGGTTTTCCAGTAACCTCTCCTACCTCTTATCTCTTATGACCCAGGGCTGGTGACCACTCCATGGTTGCCTCAATACACTACCACACATATATCATTTATAATGAATCTCTTTGCAAATAAACCCTCTTCAAATTATCCTGAGTGAAGTATCTGGGTCCTGTTAGAACCCTGATGATAAAGGATTGAGTGGAGGAAGCGAAGCCTGCCAAGAAGAAAAACATGCTTAGTGAAGTAGAAGAACCAGAAGGCAGTGTCATAGAAGTCATCAGAGCAATGGCAGAGGGAATTTAAAAGTGTCACATGCAGTTGAGAGATCCAGTAGCGTAAGAACTGGAAAAACATCTATTAGGACAATTAGGTAGTCACAGATGATCTGTGAGAACAGATTCAGTAGAATGACAGAAGCAGAAGCCAGTAACAGTGAACTGATTAGTAAATTTGCTGCTTCTTTCAAAAAATTTGGACGAAAGGAGAGGACCAAGATGGGCAGTATCATTAGAGGTCAAAGAAGGGTCAAAGAAGGATTTTCTATGATGGAAAAGATTTGGACGTGTTTATATTAGGAGTGATGGTGCCAGTAGAGAGAGGGGGGTTAAGAGGGAAAATATGAGATTACTAAAGAAATGAAGATCCTGAGAGGCGGGAGAGACTGGGGTCATGTGGTGAGGGAAAGGGAAAGTGATGATTTTTGGTGACCTTTGTACTGCCCTTTTTCTCTGCCCAGCCTCCCAGTAATCCACAGGATGGTAGTTACTACCACCATCCTACCCTGGGGCCTCTCTAGTCACTTATCAGTGCAGCTCTGATAACACCCTCCCCCCCAGCAACACCCCACTTCTGACACCTGCTAGGAACTTGATCTCCTACTGGAATCCTGGAAACTCCCTGTTCTACCCCTCAAAATAACCTGGAATCTCCTTCAACTTTCCCTGCCTCAGCATCTTCTCTCACTTTCCCATGGAGTAAGGGTGGGCACCCAAGAGCTGGATTTCTCCTTTTTGTTGAAATTTTTAAAAATTATAGATAATATATATCCATATAATTGTAAGGATCCATTGTGGAGAATTTAGCTATCTTCTTCATCCACGGTACCATCTGAGTTGGGAAGTACTGTCTTAAATAAATTTCTCTCTAATATTCAGCCAAGAGCAACTCCCCATCTACTTCCAGCTCCCTCTGTGGCCTTTCCTTTCCTCCCTCATCTCTCCTATAGTTACTTCTTTTCCATCACCTAGCTCTTTACAAAGTCATCATTCATAGCCACACCGTATGGAAAATCACTTATCCAAAGTAAAATAGGATAAAAATATAAAAATTTGGTACGTGCCTATCCCCAGCTTCAAGATCCAGTTCAAAATTCAAATCCAGAAAGTCTTCCCCAACTAAATTTGACCCCATCTAACCATTATTTTACTTTGCATTCTACCAGTGACACAATATTAATGTCATTTGTTAATTACTACTTTATAGGTACCTTCTCATATACAAACCAAAGCCAATCTCCATTGGTTGATTTTCCCAGAGGCACAGCCATGCATTAAACCTCATTCTCATATGGAAACACTCACTACCTGTAGCCTAAATTTACATTTCCAAACATAATTTCCTATCTTTCTGTTTCTCACTTCTTCACTTTTCTGAACTGAAATTAGCTATTTCTGGAGAGAGATAAGATGAAGGTGCCACCTGAGGAGGAAGTTGACCACTCTTGGGCCCCAGTCTGGGGGATGACAAGCAAACCTCTACTGGCTCTCCACGTTTCAGAATAGGGTCTTCAGCTCTACAGACCTGCATTTGCTTTTTTCAAATACCCTAGAGTAGGCTCAGAAAGCCTCATTCACAAAATACTGATGCATAAACCAGATACCCAACTATTAATTAACAATGAGAAATAAACTCTGAAAGGACCACACTGCCTAGATGAAAATCTACAATGGGAAGCCACATAAAACACCAAAAATTGTTTAGCAGGCTTGCAATCACAAAAAGATTTTATTTTTTATGAATAGTTCTTAAATAATGATTCTGACCTGAAACTAGGTTAGATGCATAACAATCAACTGAGAAATCTGTTAAAAATAGTAATTCCCCACCTCTGAACTCTTAGAATCAGACTCTCCAGGGGTGGGCCAGGGGATCTGTATTTTTATTAAGTGGCCCAGGTGATTCTGATGCCCCACTAGGTTTGGAAACCACTGTGTGAGACAGTCTTAACGACTGAAGTTATCCCACTCTCCATGTGGTGCATCCATCCCTACCCAAAGTCTGGTCTACCAAGTAGCTAAACACTTATGTACAGCAGCAGTATTATAGATACATTGCCAGTTCTTGCTATGACTTTTTTCCTACCCTACATCTTGACTGCCCCTATCCTTCCCTAAACTTCTGAGGGCACATAGGGAAGATAAAATACAATTGACCACTTTACTGAATAAAAATCGCATTCCTGTTATGCTTATCAGATTGACCCTAGATACCGTGACTGGACCCGTGTTTGCTCAAATTGCCTAAGTCAGAGTTTACAACAATTGCTTGTGACAGCAATATCACTCAATCCTTTGAACCTACCTGCCAAAAATCATAATTTGCAGGAAAAAAGAAAACATTTTAATAATCAGCCCACAGTCTGATTTGGTCTTTTTAAAATTTTGTTGAGCCCAGCTGGTGTGGCTCAGTGGCTGAGCTTCAACCCATGCACCAAGAGGTCACCAGTTCAATTCCCCATTTTGGGCTCCATCCCTAGTAGAGGCTGTGCAGGAGGCAGCCAATTGATGTTTTTCTCTCTCTCCCCCTCTCCCTTTCTCTCTCTAGAATCAATAAAAACATATTTTTAAAAATTTTGTTCAAAGCAAAGATTGGGACTTAAATTACAAAAGGTCCAGGAATCATTTACTTCTTCAACAAACCCTCCCTTTATGTGGTACTCCAGAAGTTTTTCTACCCCAGAGGAATACACTATAGTAAAATTGAGGAGGGCATGGTTGAGAGGTATGTCTTTCTTTTGTAGAAGAGGAAGAGAGAAAGCTACAGACCACAGGCCCATTCTTAAGTAGATCGGTAGTAAGCAAGGATAAACACTGAAGTCAAGGATCTAGAAACTGATTCCCATTCAACAATCCATGTGCCCACAGATGTTACAGAGAGGATTTGTGTACCCCCTCTGTGTATTTCAGTTTGAAGACTACTGCACAAGAGCATTCTGGGCAGAGAATGGAGTAAGCAAAGCCCCAGAGGCCAGGAAGTACAGGAGGAATAAAGGAACAGAAAGAAGAGTCTAATTTCAATGCAGTATGTGCAGAGTTGGAGTAGATAAGGAAGAAGTGAGGATGCACTGACGTTTTGATGTGGGGAGTAATGATGAGCACTTCCTAGGTACTGTGTGCCAAGCGATTTATTATAGGCAATAGCTTGTTAAACCCTCACAACCTCCTTATGACACAAGTGTGCTGAAGAGCATTAGTGTGAGGAGGAGCCAATCAGCATGCTTTCCTTTCTTTCTCCAGCAACACTTTTGAAATCTAGAAATATGCCTGGTGGAAGAAAGAGGGAGTGAGGGACTTGAGCATGTTAGCCAGTACAAAGTTGAGATGACTGAAACAGGGAGGCAAATTAAGTGGGGGGTAGGGAGGAGGAGTAGAATGTTAACAGATAGAGGTGACAGAGAAGGTAAAGAATGTGGTGAGCACGAGGAACCAAGCAGGGACAGGTACCCAGGAAACTGGTATGAGGTTTAATTTTGAAATGTCAAAATATATAATACACCAAAAATAAAATCCTTTTCAACTATTCAAATTTATGACAAAAAAGATGAAACATGTTGGATGTCAACTTACATATATGTAAGGGGATACAAAGCTTTTCAAATTATTTTATGGGGTATTTGAGGAAAAAGTTTGCAGTGGCCTTGCTCTCAGAGCTCCAGGAGTGAACCCCAACTGAGTTAACCCAGTCAAATTAATACCATCCTCCTTGCAAGTGACTGTTCAAAACAGCAGGAGCTGGTTCAGAAATGGACATATGCCTTTATCTGGCTCAATAACATTCTAAGGTAGTTTGCTAGGAGCTTCTGGGAATAGTTTCCTGCCATTCTGCAGGAAGTCACAGGAAGAGACTCCTATATACGGTTCCCTGGAATTGCTGCTGCCATTTCACTCCCAAGTTGTAGATGAAGGCAGCTAGAGATAAGAAAATTGAGGGGAAATGGAGCCAGGCCCCAGAGATTAAGTCAGTTCTGAAACCACTTTACCTGTTGTTTTCCAATTAAGAGAGCTTATACCTTGCATTTAGCCAGCTTGAGCTGTAGTCTTACAGACAAAAGCATTTTAACTGATACAAATACTTTCCCTTAACTTCTGAAAGGCCATATACTCAATATCTAGTATAAGAATCAGCTCCTGCCCAAAGTCTTCACTAACACCTGCAGTAAAGAGATTCTCTCTCAGTTCTCTGAACCAGCATTTCACTTACCTCTTTCTTTGTACTATAGTTATCAGGTCGTTTCCTGTTCATTGCTTCCCAAGACCTACAGAATAAAAACTTAACATGGCTCAGAATGCCCTTCTGGTCAGACCCCTGTCCCCCTTTCCATCTCCTGTTCCACGCTCTCCAATGACTGTTGAGAGCTGTAGTCATGCTCGGGGTCCTGCAGTGCAAACGCTTCCTATTCTTGAAAGTATCTTTGCCTTTGCAAAGAGGTTATCCCCACTGCCTGCCCACCCTGTGCACTTAACATCTACAGGACTCAGCTCAAGCATAGACAGTCCCTTCTGTTTTCTTCCAGGCCCCTGCCCCTAAGACTCCTTCATCCTGTAGCAGTTACCTCATTTTACTAAGTCTATTTTTACGTCTGCTTTCCTCCGTATAAGGCGAGTAAGGGTGATGTTCTATTTGGCTTGGTATTCCCGGTGCCTGGCATGCTTCGGGTACCTGGCAAATATTTGTTAGATGAATGTGTAAATGTCTTACCTACATAACGAATCTGTGACACCCTTGAGGACTAACTGGATATTTCATTCATTTTGTATTTAAAGAGCCTAGAACGATGTCAGACACATAGGTGACTACAATAACTATTTGTAAAAACAAGTTCCTTTTCCCAATCAGGATATTTAACTTAAAGAGCTATTATCCCCCTTTCCGCTGTCCTTCCCCTGGTTCCACAGTCAAGAAGGCCCTATTCCCTGTCTCCTTTCCAGAACTAACCCTCATAAGCCACTATCCTGTCTGCCGGCACAAGGCAAAACATGCCACGGGAGCCTTCAGTTTTTGACATTGCCCCGCCATTTCGTCCCCGCAGTTTACTTGGGGATGGTGAGTCAGAAACCAAAGCTCCCACTGGCCCCCGCCTCGGGACCGAGGAAGGGAGCGCCCTGCTCTGCGCCCCCGCGGCTGGCAGGCACCGAACCACCGCGGGGGCGGACCGCAGGTGGGAAATGGAGGCCGGCGCTGACCAGAAAGCCCAAGGTCACACAGAGAACCCGGGTCAGGAATGGGCCCAAACCGTGGGTTTCCGCTCGGCTCGCGGCCGGGAAGTCGGGAGCCGGCGCCCCCCTCCCTCCTGCCGGGACGGAACGAGGGCTCACCGCAGGCCGCCACCGCCCCACGCTCGCTCCGCTCGCGCTCCAAGAGCTGCTCCGCCCGCAAGCACGGAACCCTGCAGCTGTTGTCTTGGTTTCGCTGGCGACGGGCATCGGCTACTTCCGGTACCCGGGCGGCACTCCAGCCAATCAGCGCGCGCCGCACTCCGCCGGACGAACAGGTGGTTCGCACGCCAACGCCTCCTCCCCTTTCCCCGGAGCTGTCTGTGGGTTCTCACGGTAACCCGAGCGCCCTCTCGCCACTGCCGGCCAAAGCGGCTCCCTGGAGTGGCCCAGTGAACCGGCCAACGCCAGCTTCAGCCCCGGGGTCCCTAACGAGCTGGGTCCTCCGGGTTTCCTAGAACGGCTCCAGGGATGAACTTCCGCCCCGTGGCAGGCCGCTCTGCGCGCTGGTGTCGCTCCCCGGAGCATTAATCTGGGCTTGAGAAACTGGGAGTTGGCTTCTCTTCTTCGCGGGGCAGAGGTTGCGGGACCTCCTTAAAACCCCGAACCTGTATCCCTCATCCCGCCACTACCTTCCCTGAGCAACATGAGTCCGGTAAACACAGACCCCTGGATCCCAGGAAGAAGCTGGGGACGAAGGGACACCTGCTGTGAGGTCATGGACGGCCTACTGGGGAGAGGGAGTGATGTTTCGGCTAAATCCGAAGGTTGGGCGGGAATTACCCAGGTTAAGAGTGCGGGGAAGCGGGATTCACACAATAGGAACCGCACTCCACTCCAGCTTTTCCCCTCGTGAACAAGCGTGGCCCATCTCTCTGCAGAACGTTTGTACTTTTTACTTCCCTTCTTTGCACAACAAGATTCCTGTTGTTCAGGTCTCCGTTCAGACGTAACTGGTTGGAAAAGCCTTCCATCCGATCTAATGTTGCCTCAAACTACATTACCCCTCCCAAATGCCAGCTACAGGGAAGGACTACGATTGGCCCAGTTTGGGCCTGGTGCTCATTCCTGGACCAAACATTATATTCAGGGGATAGGGGTAGTGGGATCAGCCAAATCTGGGTCACCTCCTGCTCCAGCTGTGGGGGCGGGCTTCTGAGTTTACCTCACCGTAATGGAAGAGGGAGTGACTATTCTCAGAAAGCGAGATTGTGTATATATACCCAGTACACAACCTGGCAGAAAAGAAAACCTGCTCTTGAGTTCATCCTTGAGTCAGGCCTAGACTCTAAGGTCCATCGCTTTAGCCACTCTCACACCAGTATCCTTGACTTTTTTCTTCTACTGTCTGCAACTGCCCAGGAAGTTTGCTAACCTTGGATCAGTTGAAATACACATTTTCTTTGCCCAGGCACTAGTGGGAACAATTGTACATTTTGGAGAAGAGCCCTAGGATAAATGTATGGTTTTCACTTTTCAGAGGTTTGTCAGTGCTCCCCAGAAATAATTTTGTTTCCCTAGTCAGCCTGCCTACCATCTTCCACAATTGCTATTTCTACCTTCATTCTGCTCAAGCTATGATCCAAGAGTAGTCAATTACCATCACAATTCATTGTCACCTACATTTATCCAGAGACGTCCAGACTACAAAAGTATCCTGCCTCAGAACCAAGGGTTAGGGACATTTGGTTCTACTGACTTTACCTAGTGTACCTGCATGAATGGACATCTGCATCAAGAGCCTAGACCAGTCATTCTCAAAATTGGCTGCACACTGGAATCCCCTGGGACCTTTAAAATATTGATGTCTTGTGCCACCCATATAGATTCTGTTGAAATCTCAGATATAGTCTGGGCAAGGTTTTTTTTTTGGAGAGGGGGTTGTGTTTGTGTTTCTAGCTTTCCAAGTGATTCTAACATGCAGCTAACAAGGTTGAAAAACAATAGCCTAGATCAGTGATTCTCAAAGCATGGTCTCTGAATCAGAAACTCTGGGGTAAAGGCTCAACAATCTGTCTTTAACAAGCCCTTCAGGGGTTCCAATGCACACTAAAATTTGGGTATGACTCACCCAGACACTGACAGTCCTGCATTTGATCACCCCTTGTATGTGAGTCAGGAAAAGAATAAGTTGTATCCTCGCAGCTCCTCCCCTGCTAACCATCTGCTCTATTCCACTAGGCAATTTAGGGGCCATCTGGAGCAATGGGAACCTACTGAGGGGAGAGCAAGGCATATGATCCACAAATACCATTCCCATTTCCAGTGTGAATGAGGATAGCTGGATAGGAGCTGATGTTTCATGGTCTCGTAGCAGGCTATGAATTGATTTTCATAGGTAAGCGCGAGCAGTTTTGCTTCTCTTGAAAAAAAGGGCAGTAGGAACCTTGTCTGCCCTCTTCAATTCACACAGGGACATGAAAAATAAAAGACATACTTCTCACGTTCACCCTTGTTCCTTCTGTTCTCTCTTGGAACACGTAGGGGATTATCAGCACTAGCTGCACTCATTTCTAATACTTTAAATCATGTCGTCTCTCTAAGTAGTTTACAACTCTGTTTTGGGCCTGGTACTGATTGTAATTATATTTTCAGTTGTCTATAGACCACACTCCAAGCTGTTACCAAACTATGAGTAACAGCACTCAGACAGCATGTAAATGTAAGCCACTTTAGAATTCTGGAAGAAATGACCATAAGCACCCCCTTGCAAACCTTCAGATCTTTCAAAACCCTTTCTCCCACAGGTGTGCAGCAGGTCCTCAAATAATATCATTTTGTTCAATGTCATTTTGTTATAACGTTGTTGAGATGCCATAGGAGCTTCACTCTAGTTTATATCAATTAGCCTATGGTGAAACTGGTTTCATTACATGTCGTTTCGCTTAGTCACAGAACCTATCAACGACATTAAGTGAGGACTTACTCTATAACTCTGGGCCGGGGTACAATTTAACACAAGGATACTGGCTTGGATAGTTTTCTCTTCCTGCGAATGGCTCTCCTCTTCCCACCTTCTCACATCCACTTCTTATATCACTGTCCTTGATCCTACTTTCTTTCCTTTCTTTCAACTAACCAACCTAACATACCTGAAGTCTCACTCAGCATGACACAAATGCATCTTGCCTATGTGACTTAACCATTTCCCTTGAACATATCTTTACCCTGAGAAACAGTGTTCCTTGAGAGACAGGACTGTGTTACATGTACCCGAGAAGCACTGGCCATCCTGGGTCCATGTTCAGGAGAACCCAGCTGACCTGAAATATTCATATCTCACCTCCGCACACCAGCAATCAGCTTAAGCTAAGCTAAGGTTCAGTTAAGCCCTCAGTGTTCCCCTCGCACCTCCATCTATGTAGAAGAAGCAGGTAAAACAAAAAGCCACCCTCCTTCTCTAGAGTTAATAATTATACCAAGGAACCCAGAGAGACTAATTCTGAACCTGACTTAGCAAGGTCAAGTTTTCACTGTGCCAGGATAGCAGAGCTTTCTTGGGCAAGTTCTCTAAGGTCCCTTCAGGGTCCTATAAGGTCCACCTCTCTCAGGTGAAACCATGGCTGGATAATGTCTCCTAACAACCCACAGAAATGTTATTTGTCCAATAACACAAGTGAAATAGCATATCCTTGCAATGAGCAACATAAAATAATGCTAGCTCAACTGGCGTGGCTCAGCGGTTGAGCATCAACCTATGATCCAGGAGATCTTGGTTCGATTCCCAGTCGGGGCACATGCCCGGGTTGTAGGCTCAGTCCCCAGTAGGAAGCAGGCAGGAGGCAGCCAATCAATGACTCTCTCATTGGTGTTTCCATCTCTCTCTCTCCCTCTCCCTTCCTCTCTCTGAAATCAATAAAGACATATTTAAAAACAACACAATGCTATATAGCTATAGTCATAAAACAAAAGGAAAGCAGATAAGAAAGAATATTGTATTAAATGCTCATGTTGAGTAAATAGAATAAGAATAAAAGAAAATGTGGAACAGATAGAGTCTGTGAGAGAATCATCTGAATTCTTTCAAGAATTCTAAGGATTGTTAGTCCAGTTTTTACCCCAGAATCCAAGACTGCCTTTTCTCTTAGGGTTTTCTTTCAGGCTTACCACCAAAGGTATTCTTACCTAGATACACCCTAG